AGTTTCAAAATTAAAAGAAATAGCGTCCAAAAGTAATAGGTATTACTCAGATATATTTGCTTACATTTCAAAAATGTATTCTGCAATTTTTTAAAATAAAAATCCAATTTAACTATTTGTATATTTATGTAAGAAAAATTTTATATTGTTTAAATTGAATAATAACTTATTATTCATTTTCTAGTGTTATTAAGTTTTTTTTTAGATTGTTTAAGATATTTTTTCTAGCCGTCAATAGGTGGAAAACTCCATCCCTTCGCCGGGACTCCGCTCCTCGGGCACCAGGCACAGCAGGCTAGATTCGAGCACCTCTCGCCCAGACAGCATCGGCAACAGCTGTCCGCAGTTCCTGCAAACAGACAGAGGAGTATCGCGAGGAGCAGCAGGAGCCTGGGCAGCCAAGAAGGAGGCTGCAGGCAGCGAAGTGTCATTCTTGGACAAGCAAACCAGATTGACAACCGGCCAGCAGGTGGAACCTTGCCGAACTGAACGAGCTGCGGCATTAGGCGATTTGCCACGGCAGCTGGCGATGACGATCCATCATCGCGCGCAAACAATGTCATTAGCTGCACTTCAGCCGGAGCACACGAAAATGGCAGCGCACATGCGTTCGCCACACGTGCCGCAACCTACACGGACCACAATTAAGATAATGCAGAGTCAACAAGACAAGGACCTCCTCCCGAGAGGGAGCTAAAGCGAAACACTAGCAGAAAATGTTCACTGTTATGTATGGTCTTTGAATAATGAGGGTTCACTGTGGTAGCATTTACAAAAAAGGACTAATATTTGTCAGATTCTCAGATTTAAAACATTTTTAGTAGTTATTTTCTGGGTTTAAAAAGTAAAACAAATGATTTTAAATGATTTTATGTATAAACCCCATTTATTTCTTTTTAAACTAGGGGAAAGAAAATTTAAATGTCAATTTTCAACTCTTTTTTCAGTGGAAGAAACAAAAGACTAATGTCGTTGAACTGTCGCTGATTCATGCCCTCAACAAGTTTATTGGCAGCGTGGCGGATGATTAATGTGCCTCCTAATTGCCGACTGAGACAAAGTGAAGTGCCAGCGATCTTTTCTAAACATGTGTATTTTCCACTCAGACATTGCTCAACCTTTAAGGCAAGTCAAGAGTTTTCGCTTGTAAAACCTAAGAGGAAAAAAATCCAACATTTTATTTTCCACCAATTAAAATTAGCACTCGAAATTGCAATACATGTACATTTTAAATGCAAAATAAGGTTAGAAAAACGACCTAATGTTTTTTGGAACGAATATCAGCACAAAACTATTTAAATGTGCCGTAAAAGGTTCGCCATTTTCTCAAATAGTGGTAGTCGATTAAAAATCGATAGTATAAACCCAAAGTCGACTTCAGTCGATATTTTAGCAGCTTTACATTAGTAAGTAGTCAATTTTAAACTGTTTTTTTTTAGCCCTTGAAACAAATATATGTTTGATACGGTCCATTCAGGAAACACAATCAGAAAGGGGGCGGAAAAAAGGGCTTGGAATGTGAAACGGTTTGCACATGGCAACGACAGAACTTCGATTTGCAGCGACAAGCGAATGCAAACAAACAAGCAATAAGGTACGGGTGAAATTGTCGCTTTAACTTAGTTTATAATGCCACTTGAATGAGTTTGCTTGGCACAAATGCGAAAACGAAAACGAATACGACACAGGTATATAGGGTCGCCACAAAAGTTTTTACTAAAAAATTCAAGATATCAAATAAAAAGAAAAATAAGACACAAAGAACACAAAATATTCGGAAAATAATACAAAATAAAATATTCTAAATTATAAATTTAAAATACAGATTAATTAATTAAATTAATATGGAAGTTATTTTCAAATATATTCGAAATGCTATTATGTTTTAGTTTAAAAGGAAGTTGTATTTAAAGAAAATCTCCGATAAAGCCCCTACGGTAGAACATATCTTTTGAGAAAGGGCAGTAAGCAAAGACTCTTTTTTTATACCCAAAATATTATAAACTTCCCCGGAACACCAAGAATATCCTTTCATTTATGCTCCCACACGAATGGTCCTTTCAGAGCAGAGAATGCAACGAAATAATACGCTGCGAAGGAACACAAGACAGATGTATGCAGTGTAAGCCGGAGCAACCGGAGCAGGGATTTGAAATGGGTTAGTAAGGAGCCGTCTGCTGGCGCGAAAAGAGTCGTGGAACCGAACCAAATGCAAATACCAGGCGACACGTGAGCCCCACCCATTGGCACACCCTTTTCGGTATGCAATTTGCCATTTATTCAATTTAAAAATTCACACCATTGTGTAAAGCGAGCTCGCGACGTTCACAGATATCTGCGATGGAATACCCGAGCTAGACACCGCATAGATGGCATAATAAGCCGAGGCAGAGGACAAAGGACACAAAATAATATAATAATGCGCAGTAGAGTGAAATTGAACAAAAGTCAACGTATCGGAAAATGAAATAAATATTTTTATTATTATGTAAATAGCAGAATGCCATGAAAATCAATTATATTTAATTTGTATGCAAAAAGGCAAGCCGAGAGGAAAGGCTTTTTTATATCTATCGTGCAATTATGGTATTGTTTCTGAAATAACTTGCCAAAGTGAAATGTTTAAGAGCCTTACGTTAAGATAAATATTTGCAATATTTGTTTTAAATGTTATATTAAATGAAAAAAACGGAAAGTGGAAAAGGATATGTAGTGATTATTCGAGCTAAGGTAGAAAAGGATAAGTTGCTTTTGTTAAAGAGCTCGGGTCACATAGCAATTATTTAGCCTGTCAATTTGCAAATGTGGATATTCCCCTTTATTTGCATTTGGCCTTTCGTATTTATTTATGATGTTTATCGAACAATGGCCCAATGTTTTAATCCACCAAAGCGTTGCAGCATGAAGTCCTGATGGAATTAATCATTTTTGTTCTCGCTGTTGTTTGACTTTGGCGCGTACATGATAATGCCAACTAAATTTAATATTAATTCAATACAAATTCATTATAAGATTAATTTATATTATTTCCATTGTTAATCGATGCACAGCAGCGTGCAAATGCGCTTAATGAGCTTTAAAAAGAGGAAATAAATTAAAACAAAATGCGAACTCTCGCTTCGAGGAGCTCAAATGCATAAAGTTTATGAAAAACCAACAAATGGCTCGCAGCTCGATTGACCAAGTTTTTGGTGGCTCATAAAATACGTACACTCGCCTCGGCCACTCATCGAACTTCGAAGTCTTCGCTCCATTCTGCTTGCTTTCTTAATTAAAAATTTCATTCTAGCAGCAAACAATGAAAAACTCAACGGGTCCTGGCAAACTAATGAAATGGAAAATGCAAGGCAAGAAATAATTACCCATGCATATAAGCCAAATGCAAATGGCGAAGTTTGTTTTTAGGGGGTGTAGGAGAGTCTGAAGATGGCACAACAAAGAGTAAGAGCGCCGTATAACTTTCAAGGAGCTTTTAAAAAAATCCTTAAGTGGCTAAATCATCGCTAAAAAGCATTTTAAAGTTTTAATTATTTTGAATAACTTATAACTTTATTCTTTGCCCTGTTTCTTAATCGGCCCAGCACTACTTTATTATTTTAATTCACGTGAAGTAAACTTAAAAGGAAATGCATTTTCTAAAAATGGTTAAAAATATATTATTTGAATAGTAATAACACTTTGCTTTCTTTAGAACTTTTATTAAAACACCTTTTGTGGCATCCCAACTCAACGAGAAATATTTAAATGTATTTTTTTGCACATTAGTGTACATTAATATTATTAAAACTAAACTACAATGGGAATGCTAGCCTGGAGCACTGACCTCATTTGTCTGGCCGGGGAATTGGAGTCGAAATGGAGAGTCGCCGGGGGCAAAGGGGGCAAAAGGGGCGTGGCAGCTCCTGTCGCCTCACTTGATGGAAGTCCTCTGTTGATTTGCGACGCCTTTTACTTTTCGCTTTATGCGCTCCTCCCATTTGTTTGCATTTGCGTTGACACTCACTTCATTTAGCAGCCCACAGCAGCTGCAGTTGCAACTGCACAAAGGCAACACCAGCAACCAGCCACCAGCAACATCAACAGCAACATCAGCTGCGAGTGATGTACGTGAGTGCAAGTGCAATCCGCCCTCGGCTGCAGGTTAAGGACCTTCTTTTGAACTTTAAAATGTTTGCTTTTGGACATGTGGACGGCAGCAAAGCTAGAGCAAAGTCGACTAAATGATACCTTTTACAGATTAAATAAGTTTAAAAGTTTTTATAATGAAAAACATTTTTTTTAGGCGTTTTACATTTTGCTTATTTTTTAATTACATTTAAAATTAAAATAATAACAAAAAAATAATGAATTATGAAAATTAAAATAAAAATAAAATAATAACATAATAATAATATTCGATATTCTCACAATATTGATTTTTTCAGCAAACTGTCAATGTTTTTTCAGGCTCAGCCTCGAATACCCTGTTAGTTATTACTATACATACTTTTTTGCACCCACAGAAGTCCTTTAAACCTCCTCATACCCTCTCATCTCTCTATTTGTGTTTGTGTTTGCTTTGTGGTTTTGCCATCGCATTCAGTTCCCGTGACGCTTTTTAATCTTAAGCGCCTTCCATTCGCCACAATTGTGCAGGCCGTGGGCCAACTGCCCCTTTCTGGTTCTTGGCTCCAGCCAGCTGAACAAATATATATAACCATTTCTACCCATGCCCCACAGAGATCCACCTGGCGACTTATGGCCGGCTTATGTGCTCGCAAACCAATTAAAATGGCCAACGGAATTGTAAGACCCCAGACACGAAGGCAATGGCAGCAAATTAATTTCAAAGGATTACAACTGGGCCTGGAATTGTATTTAGTTGATTTCGTTTGGATATTTGGACATGGTACGGAAGTCAAGGGCTTCAAGGGTGTCCTATTTTTAACATTTCTTGTTACATGAAAATTAACTGGATACGTTTCCTAGGCATTTGATATTATTTTGCGTTATCTGCACGTTTAACTGATAGTTTTCCTTCGCCTGGCTGGTGCGCGTTTTTTGGGTCTTTCATTACGTTCTTTATTTTCCGCATTTTCCAACACCGCAGCAGCTGCCTCAAATCGCTGGCGACGGTGTAGCTCAACGCTCTGCTCCGGGTTCAGGTCCCTGAACAGATCATCATCCTCTATAAATCCTTCATCGTCGGGGCCTTCATCCTCCTCATCATAATTGTAAAGGCTTCTCAAGATGGCAGTTTTTAAACGGTGAAGGCGTTCAAGCATAGAAAATCGAATACAGATTGCAATCCACAAGATCAAGACCAATCCAGAGATTATATAGTTCTTGCTTATAAAAGAAGACTCCATGGAGACCAACCGAACGAGCTTTTTGATAAATTTATCCATTATTCTGATTATTTTGTTGAAATAAATTTGTGCAACTCGACTGGTTCAGTTCGTAGCTTGAACTGTATTAAGATATGTATTTTAAATATGTCATTTCTTGAAGTTGAAAAGCACTGCCTACTTTATTACTTTATATAAAAACTAAAAACAATTATAATTATAATATATAATATATAATATATTGTATTATAATACAAATTTGTAGGTTACTAAATTTAAAATAATTTAAATAGTATGTATAACGTAATAATTATGACTTTTTTTAGCAACCTTGAAAAAAAAGAGAAACGTTTTTTAAAACCACAATAAATGCTATCAGCTAGAAATTAATTTTTTTGGGAAAGGTTTTTTTTTAACCTTAAGAACATTTTATGAATTTGCAAATTAAATTATGTTTAGGTTGCCATGACTTTGTATAATATAAAGAAATAACTATTAACTTCCAATTCTTCGATTCTTAGTAATATAACTAATAGAGTTCTTAAAATCGAAAATCTGTTAAAATTGTATCATACTTTTTTAATGTTTTTTGAGGACTAAAATCGCATTTTTATAGAATTGAAACAAAGTCAAAGGACACAAAAGTGTGCATTGTTCACTTTTTGGGAGGACAGCTCTCAGTTTTGGACTGGCACTAAGACTGAGCCTGTGCCTGTGCCTGACCGGCACTCGAGGGTTCACGAAGGCTCTTAACCCGCTGCTTGAGGCTGTGGCTAAATCCACACCACGCTGCCAAGGATGAAAATAAATTAAAAATGTGTTAGACTCGCACCCACACAAGGACTTGGACACTTATCCAGGCGGTCGCATGCACAGACATATTAAGGAACGTGACTCGGCTGTCCCGAGACAACCACATATAATGTATATATGTTTAGCATGTTATGAAAAATGTATACACAGACGGGAGACGGAGGGCTGAGGGACTGCGACTGAAAGGACCGCCTTTGTCCACCCGGCACGTAACCGGCCACGCCCTGTCTCCTCGGCGCAGGAGCCGCCCCCCGCTTTTAATGACAAAAGTTATGACGACAAATGACTCGGTTGACTTTCACTACGAAATCAGAGCCGGCGCTCCACAATGGGACCATGAATCATTTCCCGTTGACTTGACTCCGCTTCTGAATTGTGAATTCACTTTTGCCATTTGGCCGCCTTGATTTGTAGTCGCCGCCAAGAGCGCTCTTCATTTATCATTATGCAAATTATAAATTAAATTTTAACGCAGTGCCCCGCAGATAATAATGTAAATGTTTTAATGCCTCGCTGATAATTATGCAAGTCTTGCTGCATCGGCGAAAAATTCACGCTCGACCGCAGTCGCCGTCGCGGCGTGCAAATTGAATTTGTTAATCAACTGCATTTAGGCTTAATTGAAAGTGCGTATAGTGGCGATAAAAACGCGCGGAGCTTTAATGTTAAATTTAATAAATAAAAGCCGGATTTGTGTGGCAAATTGTGCACGTGTCTCGGGGGCAAATGACATAATCAGGCACCACAATTACAAAGTAGCATTCGGCTTGAAACATATTTCGGAATATGTATGTGGCTCTTAAATATTCCCTTTCAGCTCTCCATAATTGTAAATACCTCATTAGAGCTCGCCTTGGGTTTAATGGGGCAAAGGCAAATTATATATACACATATATATCCGACCAATAACATGGCCAAATTATATTCAATCCAGGGCACTTCACACTGGTTATTAAATGCAGCCAACTAATTTTGAGCTGCAGGCCAAGGACTCATTTCCCTTTGAAGCTGTTAAACAAACATGAAATGAAAATTGCATTACGAATTGTTGGCCGTATAATATTAAGCCTTGTGCTGGAGTGATTTCCTGTCAATGTGAAATGTGCTTCACATCAAATTTGAGTTGATAATTGGGGCAAAGGTAAATCGGCTCGGGGCTGCAGCTAGTGTCGCAATCTGTCCCCGAATTTATGTCTATATTAATAGGAAACATTCGCCTTAGCTCACACACTCGAAAACGGGGCAGCATTATTTACAGTACCCTTGCCTGGGGCGACCTTGGGCCACAGGATGCGTTAATTCAATTTTATTACGCATACGCCGTGTGGGCCGAGCACAAAAAGACGTTTCGGCCCTTTAAGTTTCCCCACACAAAAGCGATAGTGTGTAATATCTGCACTGCGACAGTTTGAAGTGTGGTTAACAAGAGTGTGTCTGTTGATTTACTCCTTTCCAGAGCAACAATTAATTAGCATGCCTTTGTTTACCCATCTAAACGAACATATTGGATTTGCACAGGCAGGATGCTCATAAATTTACACTAACTGGTATCGCTTAAGAAATAATCTGCCTAATATTCAAAGACAATGGATTAAAAGTTGGAGTAAAAACTGATTTAATTTTAGGAAATACTGGCCGGAAAATGATAAAAAATCAATTAACAAAATGTGTTTTAACTTATTTTACACCAAAAATAATCCAAACAAAACAGAACCCTATAGTCGTTTACCTCGACTATCAGATACCCGTTATTCAGCTACAGGAAGTGCGAGGGAGATGGAGATATGAAAGCAGCAAAGAGACTTTAGCAAACCGACTGCTTGCATTTTATTATTGGCTTATAACTTTTTAATGAATGGTACGATTTAAAAAATTTCTTCTACATTTTAATAGGTATTAATAATCACAACAAAATCAACAAAATTTTACAAAATCCGTTAAGGCGGGTTAAAATTGTAATGATTCTTAGTAAGTGAGGCAACGCTTTCGGTCCGCAACTTTCAATCTAATTCGTTCGCCCTTTTATCTGAGCGCAAATTACTTTGGAAATATTTGTAAAGAAACCGCCGCCTGCATATTTCCACCTTTTTTAATATTTTATGCTTTTTATAGGCGCAATGTGGGCTGCATCTGATGGCGTTGCCACTTTTGCCTTTGTGCAATTGCTTTTTGCGGATATTGTTGTTAGTTTTACTTTTGAGATCCGTGTTGGTTTTCGCTGCTTGTTTTTGCATTGTGCGATGGCGCTTTTGTTTTACACGGCCCAGCATTGAGACTGTGGTTTTTGTGTTGTTGTTGCTTCAGTTGCCGCTCCGGCTGCCGTGTCCTATTTGTATCCTGTTGGCACACAGACACAGATGCAGATACAGATACAAATACAGATACCCACATATACTTACGTTCACTCGCATTTATGTCTATTGGCGCGCGTCCATTTCCATTTCATTTCCGTTATTGCAAAACTTTTCGTATTAAATATATTTTTCTCTCAGCGTTTTGTTTCATTTCGAAGCCCTTTGCTGTAGTTGTTGTCGTTTTGGTTTTTGCACTCTAGCAAAGTTGTTTGTTGCCGTTATTTCTGGTACTTTATGCGCTCCGGCCATTATTGCAGTTGTTTCCTTTATTGTACAAGTACGAGCATAAAAATCCCCGCATTTCCATATAAATATTTTGCGCACTCGCCTCGCCTTCGCCTCATTTATTGTGGCCTACTTACGGACGAGTGTGCTCGTCGGGCCAGCGGCTTACAAATTGACATGCAATTAAATGTAAGCCACAGGCATTTATTATAATTGTTACACCCTTCACAGACCCTCCTCCTCCCACCGCTGCTATAGTTTTGTTTGGTTTTCCCTGCCCGGTTTTCCGCACCCACAATTCCGATTCAGCCGCTGGCCAAAAGCTGACGCTGATTAGGCGGCCACCAGCAACAAACTAACATTGCTGTCGACCCCCTTTGGCAGCTGCAATTAGCATTCTGCGCTGTAATAAATAAAGTACAATTAACCACAATACCCCAAACAAAACGCTCGACCAAATTGTCCCCATTAATTTAATTTTCAAACAAAAAGTCAGCCGAAAGTTTGTGCGCTATTTTTGGCTGGCTTAAAATGAAAGCGGTTTTATACTAAATAGCATCCAAAGTTTTAGGATAAATAACACACCCAAAAATAGCTTGATTTTAAACGATGATCAATTTGATATTATCTGATATCAATTTTGAATTGAGAGAACTGGTTTTACTCGCCCCCGCTCACTAAATTTAAGTCGCCATATTGCTTCTTCATCTCTTTTTTGATGTCAGAGAATCTCCGCGAGAGAGATATCGGCAAAATGGCATTAGTGCATAGTAAAAACGATATGCGTATAAGTAACCGTAATTTACTATGCGCATATCAATTCGATCCCGACTTGTTTTTTTTTTGTGTAAAACATAATCGCATCGATATCACGCCTGAAACAGCCATTGATTGTTTATTCATCTGCATTTTTTATATTTTTAATGATCAGAAATGCACATATATATTTGTTTAATTAACAGTGGCAAGGTTGACTCGCCCGTTCAATACTTTATTTATATGCGCATTTATTTTGCAAAAATAAGTTTACCTTTTTTGCATATTTTATGGGTCAACAACGCATTCAAACTGAACAAGTGACCGCAAATTTTTAGCGCATTTGAATTAATGACACCGAACATCAGTTTAAAAACGTTGAACCGCAAATCAGGTTAGTTTTCTCTTCCCTGCCTCGTTAGCCAACTTTAAATGGGATGTAAAAACTGCTAATTTTAATTTTTATTTATCTGTCTGACTCAACAGCAATTGTCAGCAGCCTTTGTCGAAGGATTTTTCCATAACTATTACGTTTAAGTATTTAAGTTTTCTAGGAAAGTACAGCATCGCTGAACCAGAAAGTCATGCGATCCCCTTGAGAAAGTTTTTGAGGCACTGCGATCGAGTGATTTCGAGCCACCGAGTTGTAGCGCCTGAAGTTTTCATTACCGGCATTCAAGCGATCCGCCATCTCGGCAGCCTGCTGGTTCAGGGATTGCCGGTAGGAGAGGGCAGTTTCAGACAGAATATAGCTTGGCCCATCTTTTGATTCAGGCAGAACACTGGACATGTTGCTCCTTGATTTAATCTGAGCATTCGAAGCGGTTTCCTTGACATTTTTGGAGATGGGATCAGAGGCGGGTTGTTCCTGGTTCTTCACTTCGATCTTGATGGATTGTTGGGAGACGGAATCAGCCTTTTTTGATTTTTGGGAGAGTTTAGATGGAGATCTCTCAGTCTTTGAATTGTTGGAGCTATGAGTTCCCGTTTCCGACACTTTTGATTTAATTGTGCTAGTGGAAACATTTTCTAACTCCGAGTTTTTTGGTGACTTCAAAATGGATTTTGGAGTGAGCGTAGTGTTAGAAAAACTCTTGTTGGTGACCTCAGATTTTCCCCGGGAAGTTTTCGAAGCTTTGGCCTCGATGCTGGCTTGACTTCGCTTGGTAACACTGTTCGTTTTGGAAGCCACACTTAAATCTGATGCGGATATTTGGGCACCACCCTCTCCGCTGGCCTGACGGCTCGACCTCACTGGCATTAAAGTGCGTAACGACTCCTTGGCCACCGAATCCTCGGTGAGCTTCATCTTTGATACTCCGCCCGCATCAATGCGGTCCTTCTCATGGATAGCTGCGGCCTGCTTCTTGGCCACGGTCATCTCCTCTTTAATGGCCTTGGAAATGGCCACCTCACCGAGCTTTGTCGTCTGGCCCAACCTTGACCTGCTCTCCCGGGCCAGCGATTCAGACTGCTCCTCCGCCGACGACTGCGAATACTCGGGCTTGGCTACGAAAACCGGTGGCGGATACGTAACACAGGTCGGGATCTTGAATTCGGAACGGGCTCCACTATTCGCAGGTCCCACATTGAACGGATTGAAGGGTTCAACGTCGTAGTCATCGGGAAACATGTTGGCCACTGAAGTTGGCAATTGCCTGTGGGCCATGCGGGTTATTAGTAAGTCGTGCACTCAGAAATCACTCACTTGTTAGAGGTTTAATTTTAGAAGGTAAAGGCCTGGATGTGATATTTTCCAGTCTTTATTTTGCTCAGCCAAAACGCGTTTTTGTGTGATTTTTGAATGGCTGTGGATTTAAAACATCTAGATCAAACTGACATAAAATTCAGTTTATGCTGGGCATACAAAAAAAGTTTAGTTGTTTTATATTGCTCACCTTTTGTGAGGAAAGTACAGTCTCGCGTAATTGGAATGCCACATGAATTCCCTTGGTTATCTTGTCTATATCTTTGAGAGTAATCGTACCCTTTCATCTCTGCCTTTGTTTTTTTACTCTGGCCGTCTGGTTTGCCTACTTCAAGTTCTACTCTTGGCTTAATTAAAAATGCCTCATGCTCCTTTATGGCCCCAAGAACTCTGTGTATCAATTCCGAGTGTACGTGCTGATAAGGTGTAAAATCCTTTGGCTTTTTCATACATGAAAGCAATCTAATTAACAGTCCGAAAGGTTTGTTGCAAAGTGGCACAGAATTTGCTGTCAAGATCCTTAACTCCCGCTAGTCAGTATTTCGATCAACTTTTCGGTGACCGGATGTTGAAATTCCAGTAGAGAAATTCTAGTTACAAAAACAGAGAAACCCTTTTTGGAATGGCTAGTCTGCAAAAATCCGCTAGCAGTCAGCGGGGGCAAATGCTCCACAATGGCATGGTGAACTATGGCAGCGGTCTCGTTTTCGGCGGGAATGTGTATCCGGTGTTGGTGGACGGAGTGCCCATGCAGCCGCCGGTGGCCGCTCATCATGCGGCGGTGCATCAGCGCATGCAGATGCAGCAGATTCGGCCGCAGGCGCCACAACCGACCCAGTGCCACAAACTCATTGCTCCACAGCCGCCATATCAGCGGAGTGGCGTCCGAACAGGGACCCCTAGTCCCGCTCCTTCTTTCATCTGCAAGCCGAACCAGCAGAACTTAGGGAGTTGTCCTGGTTCCCAAAACACCAATCTCGCGACGATGCAACAGCTGCAGGCTCAGATTCTGCAGCAGCAAGAAATGCAGGCTTTCGGCCATTACGGCAACTACAATTTGCAAGCGAATGCGGGTGGCGACTCCGGAAGCTGGAACGGATATGCCATGATGCAGCCAGCGGATGCCAATAGACCGTATTCCTTTGGCTGGAGCCTCACGGATTAAGAGATCTGTAGATGTGTTGGGAAAAACTATTAAATTAAATGTGAACTTGTAGATAATAATTAATGAATAGTTGGTATTGTAAGTCTCTGCTTTGCAATCCTTTGGCATTCAGCTCACTTGTGGCATTTTTCCTTTGCGATAACTTGGCCATAACTCGCAGTCTGGGTTCCCTTTTTGCACTTCATCGGGCTCCGAGGATGCCTTTTTAGTGGCAGGAGCCACCTCGTTTCGGGGGTTGGTCGTCATTTAGTGGTAAATTTCCGTCTTAGTTGCCAACGAACGTCAGACGTGACATTTTGCAAATTCCGTTTTCAGCATTTTGTAATCGTTCCAGCATACGTGAGCCCCTGAAAGTGGATTCCCACTCCCTGCACCACCCACTTTGCTCCCGATGCGGTGCTGCTGGTGACACTCACTCAGGTTGGATTGCAGGATTGGAGCAGCATGTGTGTTGGCAAAGGGGTCGTAACTGGTTTCGTAGTGGCTTCCGATTTTTTACTGGCTTTTACCAGCTCATGTGATGATACCCTACCTTAAAGCGCTACAAGGCTTATTTTTGAGTCAAAAAAATAAGCTGGGAAAGCTTTATTAGAACTTTCCAGATTATTATTAAAATTTATAGGAATTTATTTTCTTATTTATTAAGAAGCATTTTCATGTACAGTGCTAACGTTTCTGTGCCAGATTTTATTTAAATTTAATTTGGTTACGTACGAAGCATAGCAAAGTCAATTATAACTGTCGTTTTGTGTATTTATTACAACAATTTTTGATACCACACGTCGCAACGGTTATCCCAGCAGTGTAAAATAATAAATAAGAAAATATGAATATTCGTTAAGGAAAATGTATAGTAAAACATATTTTCTGAACTGTCGTTTCTCGTTATCGACTATATTAAACGTTAAAAATATAATAATAAAACACAACACTTTTGCTTTAAGGAAGTACGCTGCCTTGCAGTTTTAAAAGCCGCAAATGAATACAACCGAAGCATGGGGTTCCCAAAATTTTCCCTCCGCTTTGTTAGGGATCAACTTTCCTGCTTACTGTGATAATTAACATTATTTCCATAAATAACTTTCTTTGTGGCGAGCCTTCGAAGCTTAGCTTCTGACGTCATCGGGATTTTGCTAGGGAAAACTCAAACCGCAAGCTGCATGTTGGCAAACACTCACACACTCTCCTCTCTTCCTAATGATGATCCCTAAAGTCAACTTGCTAAAGTAACACGAGCTCAAACATGCACACATACAGCGGACTCATAAGCACACAGTGGTATTAACGCCATAATTCGTAAGTTACACACACACAGGCGCCGCAAAAAGGATTAAGTTATATTTAAGTTGTGAGCGCTGCATTTGAAGTTCTCCTCCTTTGACGATGGCAGAAATTGCAGTGAAGCCAAAGCCAAGGAGCTCGCACACACGATCTTAAGTGTAAGAGGGACCAAAAAATTGCACTATGCAAATTTCAGCTGACCCACATTTAAGTAATAATAATATTCGGAGCCCGTCGAGCCCGTTATAAATGCAATATATGGCATAAGTTCGGCGCTCACGAAAAAAACCCCCTGGCCTGTATAAATTTGCAATATTTTTATATAGTTGCAGTCGCTGTGGTTTTTTTTTCCTGCCAGTCACAGGTCAAGTGTTAATTTCTCTTCTCTTATTTTATTTTATTTCATTTTCATTGTTCTTGTCCTTGCCTTTACGTGTGCGCACATTTATGCGAAAAGTTTTCGCAAAAGTTTAATTTAAAAAATGCATTTGCACTGACTTTGACCGTCCGACTAAAAAAACAGTAAAAATAGGAACAAATAAAAAAGAGCCACCAAGCCAACAGCTATTAACTGTAAGGTCACAGATGCAGGCAGACCGAGAATTAAATTAAATAAATTCACTTTCTTTTGCCTTTAGTTTGGTGTTTTTGCATTTAAATCAATTTACGCTCCGCTTTGTCTCAGCCGCCTTAATTAATTGCCAGCCAACAGCTTCGTGTTTAATTGTTTTGGCTTTTGTGGCAATGTTTTTATCATTGGATAAATTCAAAGAATTCCCTAATCCGACGGCGATGTTTGATTAAATTAGATCTGTGGCTGCAGCACTTGGCGAATTTAATTCTCAACCTGTCATATAGTATTCGAGCTGCTTCTTAGCACTTCTGCCGAAATATGGTTTACGACCCCACCGTGTCTAATAAAACTTATATGTCTGGGAGTCATAAAACCCACACAGCAGCAACCCAATGCCAGGCCAAATGGCATACGATTTTAAGGCCAGACCGTTCGGAATTTGCGAGGGCCCACGAAAGCGGAGCAGCCAACTTGTTGAAGTGTTTATTGTTTAGAATCCCGCGGCGTCGGCATCGGAATACATAAAACATTTTTTCGTTTTAAATAAAAGATACGCAGATGAGAGTCTTGGAGGGCGAGTAAGTAACCTTTTCAACTTCTGTCTGCGAATCGGATACGCATTTCAAGTCTGAAGGAGGTATCTCAGACGGCTTTGGTGGGTCTGAGATGTGTAAACTCGTTCCATCTTTTTGAAATTAGTTTGGGCGTAAGGAATTTGTGTGATCTGTGTGGAAGTGGGTGGCATTAAAATGCAATGCTCTTTTTCGAAGTCATAGGCTCCGAGAGAGAGAATTCGGAAAAATTAAATTATTAAATATAAATTTTACATGCCTATAAATATCAGTGATTTATCATGTGCATATCGATTGATCCAGAATTTTTTTTTCTAGGATACTTTTCATTTACGTTGTTAGAACTTAGATTTAGTTAACTAAAAATAATTTCAATCATTAGTAATGATGATTCCTTACATCTCAAACAACTCTACTGACTTTTATAACGAAATAGTAAAACTGATAAAAATAAGAAATCCTGGTTTTGGGTGTCAATCTGTGCTGAATTCAATCCATAGATATTCCTAGTTTATACCAGCACACCTGCCTATATTTTAAATCACAATGGAGGGAAGCATCGTTGGCGTCCGCAATACTCACCGTCGAACTGCCCGACAGACCCGGCGGAGGAGGTCAACCGGAGGGTTGGAGGGCCACGTGAGCAAGACCTCCTTGGTGCAAAAGGTGGAGAAACCACTGGAGAACAGGACATTACAGCAGCGCGTCTTCCTCTACATCCAGCTGAACGAGCTGACCAAGCTGCCGAAGACGGACAATCCTCTGGAGCTACACCTCTACCATCCGAAGAACACGCTGCAGAAGTTGCAGGAACGCTACACCACGGACACCACCATCTACCAGCACGAGTTCAACCTGAAGAAACCGGTATTCGCCTTGGGTGTGATGCAGGACGATATCGAGGACATGAACACGTTCAGCGATCAGCCGCTGGTGATTTCCCTCTACCAAAGGATTCCCCGCCGTCGCAAGGGAGGAAAAACAAAGGCCAAAACTGGTGGCACACCCGCTTCCCAGGAAGCCAGTCAATCGAGTGCAGAGGCTTTGGGGAATAGTGAAAACGTGAAAATTAAATACGAACAATGCAGCGAGGAAGCTGGCGAGGAAGGAGAGGGTGGTAACTTTTCGGAGGAGCGACTGGAACTTTTGTCCCGCGGTCATTGTGATCTATTGCAGCTCTTCCAGCGACGCCGCTTTATAAGCGATATTACCATCTTCCTGTACCCGGAGTACCAGACTAACAAGCAGGCCAAGAGCAATCAACAAATCACCTCGTGCAGCGTTTGGCACATGTACTCCATATTGCCCATCCTGAAGAACTTTAACTTTACTAACCTCGCCTTTTTGACCCTGGAATCAATTTACAACGTTCCTGAGGAACTGCACTCTCTGTCCGCCGAACTGGGACTAAGTGTTTCCTTTCGTGGAAAAGAGCCTGAGGGTTCCGACGGCGCCTTCAAGGTAATTCTCCTTTGCACCTACTCGGGATTCATATCGCAGATCATCAGCGACCAAAACACGAGCATCGTGTGGGAGAGCATCAAGCGGGACCTGCATCCCAATATGAACTTTAGTTTTAACCAAATGGAGACCAGTTCTAGGATAAAGCTGCCCAAGCTGTTTCGCCTGTTGCTTTGGCAGCAGGACGTTGACTTTCAGATGGAGAAGATCGATGCTGTGACCGACTTGGCCCTGATCAACAACTCGCTTCACCGTTTCGTGCTCACCGAGGACATGCGAAAGATCCTTGAGCAGGCTGTCGTTCACAATGAATACGAGCTGTTGCTGCAACTGTACCAGGAGACGCCGAGTAATGTCATGTACGAGGGAGTCCTCAACCCGAGCATCTTTGGCTATCCAGGCGGTAAGCGATGGGGTTGTGAAATCATCGAAAGTGTGCTCAATTGATTGTTTTGAATATCGCTAGTGTGTACAATCGATATTTTTCGCTACCGATAGTGGACGCCATCGATATTTTCGATAATATCGAAAGCTAGAGAAAGAATCAACAAATTACAAAAACTAAGAAAAGTGAAAAAATCATTGAAAATTGATACTAATCATAAAAGTTTAGGGAAAAAAGCTCGATCTAAATTGCCAGAGCGATTCTATCGATAATAAGCCCAAACCATCGATATTATTGCGAAACCATCGATAGTAAAATCAAGCGATTTGGTAGTCTTATTTGCTTACTTATGTTTGAATTTAATTCCCTGACCTCCCCTAGTTAACTATTGTCGGTTTGCCATCCACCTAAAGCCCGTTTTCGAACCTCAAGTCAAACTAAGCACAACGAAAGGAGATTCCCTGGTAATGGGCCCGATGTTCTGCACCTTCAAAATCTGCTTCTTTCAGCCAATTTGCGAGCGCAACGAACCTCTTGACAAGTACAATGAGAGCCTCCTCAAAAGGGCAAAGCTGCGGCGATGCTTCGATATGGAGTTCCTCAAGGAGGACGAGGACGATGAAGATGTATGTCTGGAGCTTTATCGTTCCTTCGATGATCTCATCTCCGATACAATCGGCTTCATAGTCAAGCGTGGTGTGCAGGACATCAACGATAAGAAAGACTTTTTCTGCTGCCAGTTGGCCAACCTCAGTAATCTGGTGTTGAAAATCTGCGGGTGCGATTTTAACGTACGCATGCCAACGAAAACGAACATAGAATTCAGGGTGGGTGTACTAAAAACCAAATATGTTGAAAGCATAAATAATTTACTGTTTAATTAGGAAATGCTAACCCACATGTATAAAGAGTTGATGGAGCGCATTGAGGGTATTTTAGCCGCCTGCAGCTGGAAAAATAGTTATGATTGTACGACAAATCAGGAAAATGGAGAACACAGCTTGTCGCGGCTGATGAATGAGATGCGTCTGGTCAGCAACTGTGGCCAGAGGGATCTGGCAATGCAAATCTACGAGGAGATCGACAGTAGCACCTCAAACCGCATTATATTCGACTTTGTAACCCTGCTGAATAGCGTCGAAACTCTGCAGTTCCAGCAGGCGGCTAAATATTTCACGAAGACCCGGACCAGCGATTGGAGCGGACATTATTTTACGTGAGTTTAATTGGATTAGAATAATTTAAAGTTAAATACACGCATATTAAGAAGTTCATTAATTACCCCTGTCAAACTTTTATAACTCAAACTTCCGTAACTTGAAATAAGCTCTAAAGGAGTAGCTTTTATCGACTCAATTTCTTCGCAACTTCTTTAACCCGATTTTCTCTATAACTTTTGATTTATTTTCACAGTTTAATGAATGACAAGTGATTATTTTTCTTATAAATGTTTAAATTCTACGATTCGATAATTATTAGCTATTGCTTCGATCTCTTAAAAATCTGACAATTCGAGGAATTCACATTAAAGATAATAAATCGTATATTGGTGCCCCTTTTGAAATATTTTTCACTAACTCTAAGGCTTCTATATCAAATATAAGTTTTTTTTATAGCGCAGGTTGCTCATGCAGCTCTATATCAACTACATGATGGATCTGAGATCCCCAGACGAAGAGGTCGTAAGCTCGGCGAAATCGAATATGATCGAGAGTTTGCGCCAGTTCGCCGATAAGAACAGACTGGAATCGGAGATTTGGATTCTGTTGTATTGCTATTACAAGGAAGTTAATTACTTGCCAGGCATGGAGTTCACGCGATGGAAATTCCAGAATCTCTTTGAAATTTCCTCCAAGACTCTGTCTTTTACGCCCTGCTCACTTTATGAAATGTACCTGCCAGTCGACTTTGAACTAAGGACCTCGTGCACCCCGATGAATACTAAGTTTTATCCAGTTTTTAAGCTGTTTGCTCGCCTGGGAGCCTACGCCTTTGCCGAAATTGTGTTTGCCGACATAGAGCAGTGCTTTACGGAAGCTGAAGTTTATCTTATAAGGACCACTTTAAAGATACTTCAGAGGCAGATCGATGAAAAGTTTAAGATCGTTAAGATGCCTACGGATAACAGTGTGCCAGGAAAGCTGAAAGTAAGATTAGTTTATTTTAATAAAAGAAAATTAAATTTGTAAATCATATTATAGCGCTGTTACCAACTTCACATCAATGGCAGTGTGGAATATTCCCGTGGACGCTGTGACGAGGCCTTGAAATATTTTCAGGAACTATTGCTAGTGGTGGATCCCGGTGACAAGACATTGTTCAGGCTGAGTTTCCTGCGTCTCGGTCACTTGGCCTTTGAAAGGGGACAATTTGAACTGGCCGAAAAGGCCTTTGACATCTGTTTGCCTTGCAGCCACAGACGCAAGAACTTTATAGCCAATTATGGAAAGGGGCTGTCACTCTACCATGTGAGTTTTGATTGATAAGGTGTGCTGTCTATAATTACTTCACACTAACAACCATAGCAAAATCGTCTGGAAGAAGCCATTCCCTTTCTTTCTCGCTGCACTGAAGTCGACATCTTGATTCCCGATGTCTGGGGATATTTGGCCGCCATTAACCTGAGACTGAACCGAAATAAAACTGCCTTGGAGTGCTGGAAAGTGGCTAAACAGGTTAGTATTAATATGGGACAGCCGTATTATCTTTATCTAAAACTCCCCTTTAAAGTACCCCGAACTGAGCATCAGCAAGAACGTGTATGCTGAACTGGACAAGATTCAGTACTCAGATATCCATCTAATAGTAGATGACGATGGAAATCCGGCTGAAAAGATGTCGAAACTGGACTTCCTTCCCTTGTAATTAAAGCCCTTGAAAACAACCCAAGAAAATATGATTTTCTTCACCTGGTAAAATGGTCCTAAGCAAACACATACAGAGTAACGCCTTTCATCAAGTTTAAGCAACGTTTATCACTTAAATTTAGTGCCCCACATTTGGGTGAAATTAAGTATACGCACACGCATATGTTTACAAGGTATTTCGGTCCCTCGATGTCCTTCGCCTGCCTCGTCGGGCTGGCTCTTGTCAAAATTTCAGCCGCAGAGCGGCAGCACAAACGTGAATATGCCAACACAATGCATTTTTGGCCAAGGGCAAACCGCCACAGCAATAGCAAAAACAAAACCGACAGCAGCAACAACGACAAAACAGAAACAAGTGAGATACGTAGTTAAACCCTTTTGGCCAACACTCAACCCATGACAGGTGTTTGCTCTGCAAAACGTTTGAGGGGTACAGTGAGTTTGGCAAGTAACTTGCCTGGCTTCAGCGATATTCTGGTTTATTTAAGATAATCGATTTAGTTAACATAGATATTAAAAATGTTGTGACTTTCAGATCTATTTTTTTTGTGAACCTTTGTCTTAAAAGTTATTTAATAAAATAACAATTATTTTTAACAACTTTTTTGGCAATTGCTTGCAGTAACTTAATAAGGATCATATTTTCGCGACTTATAACCATCATTGTCTATCCTTAAAAGAATATTACAATAAATTCGTCTAAAGAATTTAACATTGAAGGATAAACAATATATTTGTTCTCTTATTATAAATTAATGATTTTGAAATATTTAATGGGAATTTTTTAAGTTGTTCGAGATGTCCGAATATTCTAAGTAGTTTGAACTAAACTGTTTTAAAGGCATCCGTTAGGAACATGAGCTTGCTTGGAGCTGTTACTTGCTTACTCGATAATCCCATAAGTATACATGAGCAGTGTTCTAATAGCTAATCTTATTAAATATAGTGCTTAATTTATGGGAATTCTTTTGTAATATTTACCTTTACAATAAAAACAAAATATATGTTTGGATGATTTAGTTCTTAACTTAACCCGTTTTTAATTAGTTATTTTCTAATTTAAAAGTTGTCTATCATAAACTTAACGCACAATTAGTTCCCATATATCAAAATAACTATTTTGCCAATGGAGTATTTCCATAAATTTCTTGGCAGTTAATAGAAATTCGCCAACATTATCAGGCTAATTCTAAGGGCATCCCCATTTCGTGGGCCTGACTATTCTGCTCGGCTGTTGTTGTTTACCTGGCAGCGAGTGCTCTAAAATCCGCTTTGACAGCTCGCCTGTCAGCTCAACTCAAACCAAGCCAGGAGGTGGTGTTGTCCTGCTGTTCGGGGTGTGGGAGCTGTACACTTTTTTTGCCTGTCTCTTGTTTGGGCCAGGCCCTCAACTACATATGCTAATGACGAGGTAGCCAAGAAGGGGGAAGGGGGGTTGCGGTGGAGGCGGGGTAGCCACTCAGCTCGGGCTTTTGAGCTAGTTTAAGGCCAACAACTCTCGGCTGCTGAGCACACACATTGGTACACACGGGGCGATAGGGAAAAGGAAGGGGATGGGAAACGGGGACCGTACACATTGGCTTCATCAAAATGAAATTTGTGAGCAAACACATAAAGTGAATCAAGTAAGCAAGCCAGGTAGCCGGGACACATGCTGCTAATGTTTTAAGACGGCTTTAAAATGCGTTTTAGTAGACACGGCACTTCACTGGCTCCATCAACATCACGCATACGACGCGTGGGCCCTGGCGAAAGGATGCTGTTGTCGCCCCCAACGTAACAAAATCAATTAGACACATGCATTTACATACTCCGATTGCAGATGCCATCCGAAATACCCGCACTCCACTGGTCGGCGAAACAACAATTGCAATTTAATGTGCTGCCTGCGCCTGCTAATGATAATGTTGTTATGTGCCTATTATGCCTGTTGTTTGTGGGGTCTATGGGGTCTCCGGTATCTGGGGGGTGGTCTGGGTGGTCTGCTTCGAGCCTGGCTGCGAACACATGTCATTAGCATTTGCATTATGCGAACTTTGCTGTCTGACAACACTCAAAGTGATGCAGTTAGGCGCCTGCACCCGTGGGCATCCGCCCGAAAACACCAAATGAAATTAAAGCTGAACCCAAATGAGACCAAAATTGATTGGAAACAACGGCAAACGCGTTGAGGAAACTGATACCAAAGCAGTAATGATGTGGGTTCTGATATCCTTATAGAGCTGTGAAAAATGTTTGTTTGGAAGGAAGACTACTGGAACATGTGGTTTACATTTCGAGCATATAAAGTAAAAATTGATCTCACATAATATCAAATTGATCCTCGTTTCATATCAATTTTTTTTTGGTTATATCTACAATTAAAGCTTCTTTTAAAAAGGAGTACTACAGCTTATTTTATTTTGTCTGCCAAACAAAGTGAATCTCACTTACAACCTGAACATTTCGTTTATGCTCCCAATATGCAAGTTGGCCGAAACATAATATTAAATGCCGCACATGACTGCCCTACACTCCCGAAATATTAATCCGGATGAATTTCATATGCCGAAATTCCGAAACAAGGCCGAGTGCCAAGCCCGGCTCAACCTTGAGGATGTGGCAGGATGCGACTTGTGGTGGTGTGTGGCAACCTTAAGCAATTTCTAATCAAAATATGCGATGGACAGGCTAATATGCAAATACCATGTAAGCAGCTCAGACGCAAAGGAGCTCAGCTTAATACCAAAATAGCTCAGCTCCAGCAGCCACCACACATATCTTCAGCTCTTCGGCTAATAACACAACCGCAGAGAAAAAAAATCAAAAAAAAATAAGAATAAAAAAACCGGTGGGTAAAACTACAACAGCTGCGTACCCTGCTGAAAAGTATGCAAAGATTTCGCCCGGAATTAAGTTGGCAAAGAGCTAACGTGAAATTTACACCAGAATGGTTACACAACGAGGGGAGGGGGTCTGCATGAATGTTTGCCGTGGTGTGACATGAAAATTTCATTTGAAATTGAATATGAAAAAAATGGGAAGCCTCGTGTGCGCCGCTTGTGCGACAGCTGCTGCAATTGACAATTATTATTATTGTCAGTGCGAATAAGGGCGGAGGGGGGCGTGGTTGGTATTCATATGACACCCGTGTAGCTCATAACCAAGCGCCCAAAATGCCTCGACATCCGTCGGCTTCAATAAAATTCAATGGTCGCATTAAAATCATTTAAATTCTATTGTTTTGTTAGCTTTTTTCTTTTTGTCCTTGGATCTCCGGATTTCTATGTATTTCTTTACGACTGTCAACCACACACGCAACCCCACGCACACGGACGTCCCGAAGCCACGGAGTGTGTGAGTGTGAGTGTGGCCCACACGGCGAATGCCGCATAAGCTGTTTTCGTTGCGGATTTAGGCGATATCAGCAAATGCATATTTAATGGGCTTGCGATCAATATGATATGTGGTGGGGCGAACGCGACCCCTCGCATTTCGCGTCGCCGATTAATGCAATTTAAGGCGGCTAAAGGATTTAGTTTGCGAAATTGTTTAGAGATGAAAGGGGAATTTATAAATGTTGCAGTCTAGTAAATTTCATTTACATTATTTATTTACAGAATTTATGCCTATTAAGGTAAAAATATCTGGTCATAATTATAATGAAAAAAATGCTAGTAAGTTCTAAAAATACTCCCAAAAAAAACATTTTCCTATTCCGATCGTTAAGATTTTTCAATTCTAAAAAAAAATTAAACACAAATATTTTTAATATACTGCTTACTATAGAATACATTAAAAGTATACTCAAAAGATTTTGTGTAACCCTAAGTACATTTACATTTCGATTTTTACACACTTTAACCTTAACCGATAACTCTTGATAAAATCTTCAAAATCTCAAAATGAAATCGTTGGCGTCACTTAAAAATCATAACTGCCAAAACGGAGTGGCATCTGTTCGTGGTGCCCCCTTTTCGTACTCCTCAAACATCTGAGGTGCGATTCCATTTGGTAACCCCTTCCTTTGGCCCCTTATCCTCCGATGTTTGCAAATTCTCAACTTTCAAAAAAAAAAAACGCGAAAACGAAACACGTTGAGTGCGCACAGCACGCAAATGCGAAATGGAGAAGGGGTAAAGGGTTTTTCGGGCTTTGCCCAGGATCTGTCTTGTTTGCATAATGCCAGGCAGTCAACACCCATCCACCCACCCACACGCGTACACATATGGCAGTGGAGAAAAATAAGTCAGCGGTTTTCATTTTACAATTTGATAGCCGAATAAGAATTTTCCGCTGACAGAAGTCGGAGCAAGAAATCGTTCGAGGAGCTCCGGCAAAGGATTTCCACTTTTGTGCCGTTGATTTGTTTGTTGATTTGCGTAAGTAACGTTTGAGGGGCGTCGCCTGGCCCTAAATCCTTTTCGAGCATCTTTATGGCCAAGTTGCTTTTACATTTGTCGCATTTATAAATTATTTAAAGTGGCAAAGCGCCAGCTTAGCTTGGCTTGATGAATGTGTGCGCTGACCATCATTGACCCCGTGACCCCAAAAGCAACTGCATATTGAAACGCGAGGCACTTCCAAGCACACCGAGAAGAATTAGCCTCATTAGGATACAAAATCTATAAAAATATGGTGTTTAATATATTTATTATTTATTTATTTATATGAACATGTAAGAATGTAATAATTGTATGGAGTAATATTACAAAATGATTTAACTTTTTAAAATATTGATATTAACGAAAATTTTATTTCATTCGAATTGTTATATGTAATACTTTATAATAAATCCTTAATGGCAAGGCTAATAAAAAACTTGATTTTTGATCCATAAACCAGAAAGTTATAATAAAAAGTAAAAGGAAAACCCAATTTTTATATTTATATTTTTATAAACTTTCAAAAGAAAATTGCAAGCAAATTATTAATGAGAAGGAGCATTTTCCCCTGTGCACGCACAGGCAGATGGACCAGTGACATGAGGGACCATAAACAGTGGCTAAACAAGGTGCT